CTACAACAGCTAGGGATGAGACTGGAGGATTGAACTTGGAGGGGAGGAGGGAGAGGTGGAGGTCTTCAATCAGCTTGCCTGTTTCCCTGTCCTGCTTAGTTGGTGTGTTCCCAGTGAGTCATCAATTCAAATCTTATCACAGCTGTCGTATTTAAAAAAAAACAAAACAAAACAAACAAACAAAACAAAACAAAACAAAAAAAAACAGGCAGGAAGGAGTCCATCTATACAACAGGGCTCACATAGGAGGTTTATTGAGGGGAGGGGAGAGAAGGGGTCAGAGACCAGTCCTTGGGGATGGGAGTGAAAGAAGAGAAAGAAAAAGAGACAGGAGGCAGGCCAAGCCTGCATTTTGTAAGCAAATGTGCTCAGCGGGTGCTCTTAGTGGCTGTAGCTACAGATATATTCTGTGAGGACCCTAAGGGCAGACCAGTACAGATGCCTAAAAACAGCCATGTGAGATGACATGCTTATTTCACTCACATGGATGAGGAGACTGAGGCAAACAAAGGTTAAAGAAGTTATCTGTGGTCACAATGTTATGAATTGTTAAAATAGGGAATAAAGTGCTGGCAATTCAAGACCAGAGTGTGCACTGGCCAGCAAAGCAGGTAGGCTAACTGCAGATATTCACTTCCCCCACTCGCCTCCAAATCCAGTCCCCAGTCTCATCTTTAGCTCTGTAGCAAACCACCTGATGTTGCCTCCTCCTGCTTTCTGCCTTTACGTCCAGCCTCTCATGAAGATCTCCTTCAAACTTCCTCTGGACTCATCCCTTTGTCTCATCCCAAACTCCAGCAGGAATTCCCTGTGAGCACTCCTATCCCCATCCCTGCCAGCCAAGCCTGCCAGAGAAGCAAGGAGGCCAGATATGCAGGTAGGTGAGCTTTAGACTTCCATTCTCCCTCCTCTCCTCCAAATCCAGTCCCCTAGTCTCACCACCAGTTCTGCAGCAGACACCTGCTGTGAGTGGCTTCTCATCACTTTCTGACACCACTCCCAGGGCACTAAGCAGAGCATGGTAAAACACTGTGCTTTCCTCCCTTACACGGATTACTTCACCCTGTCCCTTGTAGTTCATCCCCATTCTTAAGTATCAGCTCCTAATCAAACACAATGAACATGGAACCCCCAGTGGCCACACCTGGCAGGATCCCAGACGCATTTGATGGACCAGCCTGACTTCATCTTAAGATTTGAAGCCATCTTGTTACAAGGCCAAAATAATTTTGTTACTGTTTTCTGTAAAACTTGCATTTGACTAGGTCTTGACCCATTTTCTGGAATTTGACATGTTCCAAACCCTATACCCTGATCTCTACCCTGATGAGATATTCTGCTAAATAATTTTGAGATGTTCTTCCAAGTTCCTATGTAGCCAAAATTCCTCTTAAATCCCTCAAAGCTTGACAACCCCCTCACCTTGCAGTTCTTGAGCTATATGAATCCCACTTTCTCCTGTGTTCAATGCTATTTTCTCAAATCCTGATTTATGGAGATGGCCCTGTCTGACAGAAAACAAACCTTGCTTAATTTGAGCAAAATTTTTTGGTTGATGGTTTTACTTTTATTTGGTGTGATTAACACACTCCCTACCAGGTAACACACAGCCATCACACTCTAAGAATCACAGAGGCCAACAGAAACCAAGACACAAAACACCCACCCAAAAAAGATAAGCAGATATCAGCACCTAGAATTACAATACCTTGAACCTAGGTGCCAGCATACAAACACACTAACAGCTAGGATATAGAGCCCAGCAACCCTACCACAGCTGCACACGAGAAACACAGCATAGATGAAACACAAGACGAGGACCTTGAAATAGCCTTTATGAAGATGATGGAGGTCTTTAGGCAGGAAGTAAACAAACCCCTTAAAGAAATCTATGGGAACACACAGTGGAAGGAAATAAATAAAACAGCTCAAGACCTGAAAGTGGAAAAAGAATTAAAAATCCAAACTAAGGGAAATCTGGAAATGAAAAATTTAGAATGTCAAACAGGAATCTCAGAAGCCAACAGAATACAAGAGATAGGAGAGAGAATCTCAGCTATTGAGGACAAGATAGAAGAAATTATTTTTGAGGAAACAAAAGAATATGTAATTCTTTGGGTACCATAAAAAGATAGGCAGCTATTTGGAATGATTTTTGAGCATTGGAGGAAAAAATCAAATGTCATCTAAGTCAGTAATTTCTTCTATGAGCTTTTTTTTATTTAATGAGAGATTTCACCATGTAAAACCAGTTGATACCAGGATGACTTCATTCTTGAATGAGAAAACAAGATAACTCAGATTTGGGTGCTTCTTCTAAATACTTCTTCCTGAAATCACTGCATGTAAACATTCATACATCTTAACGTTTGACATTACTTTTCTGTTGAGCACTGGACATACATGGACATAGGTCTTTTCCATCCTCTGTTTCAAGTTGTACAACTACTATAGGTCAATAGCCCAGAGCTATGCGATTAATTTTCTCAGCACTGAGAGCTTCATGCATGATTAGGTGCTTAAATGCTTTTTCATTTTAAGGATGGTACTGGTAAAGTTTTCCTGTGAATTTGATTGATGGTCTAAATAAATGATGCTTGATTTTACACAGATTATACTAATAGCTCTATTTAATATAGTGAAAAGGAGATTTTGCTTGTAAGCTCAAGCTCTAACCACTAGTGAGAAATTCATGGACGGCAAACATTGTCCTTTTATTATGTCTTTGGGCCATATGCTCATGAAGGCTTAGCTGTTTCTGGCTAAAATTCTGGGAGAACCAAATATGAATTATGGGAGGGTAGTACAAAGGACTAGTTAAACAGACATTAATATTTTAAACTTTAATAAATGTTATAAATGTGCCCAAAATAATTTTCTAAAATTTTATAACTATCTGAACAGGTATAGTGGAGCATTCTTATAAAGATTTTCTATGAAAGAAAATAAGAAAGCTGTGATCATATTTATAACCCAGAGCAATCTGATAAAGTTGATCCAAACTAACTCGTTTGTAGCTTGAGTTTTCCTGCCATGCAGAACATCCCACAGCACTTCCCCCTTTTTTTTTTCAAAAAGGAAGGTTTTAACCTTAACAAAGTAAAATTACATATAATTTGGGAATTTGGGCGTAGCTTCTCTTACTACTTCCTGCTGGAGGGGGGCGCTGTATCTTATGGGGATACAAAGAAAATTTTAGAATTATAGAATAGTCCATGAGGGTGTATCATCTGAGCCAGTTGCCTTCAAATCATTCTGGATGTTGGATCATCTGGGCCATGGTGTCATCTGGGCTATGGTGTCATCGGAGACCTTTCAGGGGGTCTTGGCTGGTCAAACCTGATGTATCTTAATCTTGAACAAATCCATAGCCTCTGGCTTTCTGTGGGAATAAAAGCAGAGACTCCTTTCCAAAGCAACACATCCTTACATCCAAATTTTGAAGTCAAAGTATCTTTAAAATATGCATATTGGTTTAACTCAGCTTCCTTTACAATCAAATATCTCTCTGTAGTTAAGAATCCCAAAGACAACACAATCCAGATTCTCTGTGTAATATTCATCTTCACGTGGCTTATTTTTTATATTAATTTTACTGTCTCTTTAAAGACTTTATTTTTTAAAACTATGTATTTGTTTCTATACTGTATATATCACCTTTTTTGTCTCTTTCAAGCCTACATATATTTTACACACATTTTAAACTATTACATCTGAAACTGTCTTATTGTGAATCTATTGCTTTAAGCTGCAGCAGCTGTGGCTGCTGGCTCCGCCCACCTCAGCTTCCCAACATGGCGGCGGTACTGTAGTTTTCCGCCAGCTCTGGGAGCTATCGTGGGTCTATGCTTTTATCCAAGCAGCGTGTAGCCCAGAAACCTCTTTTTTTTGTTTTGTACTAGAAAAGGCTAAATCCACCACGCAGCTTAATATGCCACTTGCAGAGGACTCATTCCCGCCATACTGCAGGTCGAGCGTGCACGCTAGGAACCCACCAGTAGCTCAAACCGGCAGCTGCCGCTCATTTGAGAGAGACAATTAGGAACTGTTTTTAGCTCTGTTTTAGAAGATTTTTTCAGGTTTTAGGTGGAAACTCTTGCCACCACGTTGGACGCCATTTGTAGCTTGAGTTTTCCTGCCTGGCCCACAGTCAGGACAAATCTCTCTCACCTGCCAGTCCCACAGCCTCTCAGACCCAACCAAGTAAACACAGAGACTTATATTGGTTTCAAACTGTATGGCCGTGGCAGGTTTCTTGCTAACTGTTCTTACAGCTTAAATTAATCCATTTCTATTAATCTATACCTTGCCACATGGCTCGTGGCTTACCGGCATCTTCACATGCTGTTTGTCATCGTGGCGGCTGGCAGTGTCTCTCTGACTCAGCCTTCTACTTCCCAGCTTTATTCTCCTCGTTGCCCCACCTACACTTCCTGCCTAGCCAATGGCCAATCAGTGTTTTATTTATTGACTAATTAGCAACACATTTGCCATGCAGAACATCCCACAGCACTTGTTAGATATATTCTATGATGATTTTCATTTGTTTTTCAGAATTTGTTATATTTACAATGGAATTAGAGTCTGTGTGTCCTGAATAAATCATTAGTTGATTTCAAAGCCTGAACCATTGTCTGGATGCTATCCACTCTGCTTTTGACTGCCAACATGGTGTTCTGCTGTCTGAGCTATGCTTCAGTATGGGCAGACTCAGGCACAACATGCAGTTTTGTTGGTATGGATTTCTAGCATGCATGGTCTCTAGACTTCAGAAGTGAAGTATCACATGGATGTGAAGACTATATAGGATTGCATCTTTTATAAATTATTTTTAAAATTAGCATTTAAGATGATGTTTCTATTATATTTTTATTAATGTACATCATTTTACTTTGTTCATATTCATTCACCCCTCTCCCACCCCCATTAGTCTCCTTCATTCCTCCAAATAATCCTATTTCTTTTAGCATGTTATATATACATATATATATATATTTTTTTTTCCACAATAAAAGTTTATTCTTACACAGCTACAGCTTTGAAACAATAAAAAGATATACCCATTTGTCACGTAGGAAGAGGATCTGAAGCAGCAAGTGGGTTGGCTACACACACATAATGGTTATCGGCTCTGTTCAATGTATGTGGAGATGTCTATTTCTTCTGGAAGCTCTGCCACATTCACTTCAAAGCGGTCCTGAACATCATTGAGAATTTTAGCATCATTCTCATCAGATACAAAAGTGACCGCCAGGCCTTTGGTACCAAAGCGACCAGCACGGGCCACTCGGTGAAGGTAGGTATCTGAGTCCTCTGGCATGTCATAGTTGAAGACGATGTTGACTCGCTCAATGTCCATCCCTCTGCCAAACAGGTTGGTAGCCACCAGGATGTGCCGCTGGAAGTCCTTGAACTGCTGGTAGCGGGACAGGCGCTCCTCCTGGGGCATGCCTCGGTGAATAGCAATGGCTGGGAAGTTCTGTTCCACTAGGAGCTGGGCCAGAGCCATGCAACGCTGCACAGACTTGACAAAGATCACCACCTGGTTAAACTCAAGGACATCAAGGAGGTCGAAGAGCTTCCGGTTCTTCTCACTGTCCTTGAGCTTGATGTAGTACTGCTGTAGCCCGTGTAGTGTGAGCTTCGTCTCGTCGTCCACAAACACCTCCATGGGATCCTGCATGCACTTCTTGCAGACGGGCCGGATCTCCTTGCTCAGAGTGGCACTGAACATCATGCACTGCTTCTCATGCGGTGTCAAGCGAAAGATTTCTTGCACGTCCCGGCGCATGTCCAGCTGTTCCAGCATCTTGTCACATTCATCTAGCACAAAGTGCTTCACATTCCTCAGGTTGAGGCTCCTGCTCCGTACGAGTGCCAGGATCCAGCCTGGTGTCCCCACCACAACATGGGAACAGTTCTTCTTCAACACATCTTCATCCTTCTTAATGGAGAGGCCCCCAAAGAACACAGATACCTTGACACTGGGCATGTACTTAGAGAAACGCTCATACTCCTTGCTGATCTGGAAGGCCAGCTCCCTTGTGTGGCACATGACCAGTACTGATACCTGGCCATTGATGGGCTTGATCTGCCGCAAGGTGGCCAGCACAAACACAGCTGTCTTGCCCATCCCAGACATGGCCTGGCATAGGACATCCATACCCAAAATGGCCTGGGGAATACACTCATGCTGGACCTCTGAAGGATGCTCAAAGCCACAGTCAACTATGGCTCTCAGGAGCTCCGGCTTCAGCAGAAAGTCCCGGAAACCAGAATTGTGAATGGAGACATAAGATCCTTTGACATCTTTCTTCTGGGGAGCTAGAGTGCTCTCCTGCGGTGTTTGGGGCTCTTCATCTTCATCATAATCCAAAAGCTCATTTTCCACATCCTGTTCTGCCATGGCACCGCCGCCCGGTTCGCCTCCGCGAGCTGCGAGGAAAGCCGCCCGCCTGGTTGTACATCGCGCCCCTGGACGCGAGCTGCCACATATATTTTTAATGTATTTTAATTTTATATATACATATCTTTCTTTCTTATATATATGCATGTGTGTGTGCCACTTTTTTCCAGGTTTCCTCTATCTTCTTCCCCTTCCTGTTAGTCTTTCCTGTCTCCAAATATTCTCCCTTCTGATTTAATGTCTGCTTTAATATGTGTTTAAATTATATTCCTGTGAAGAAGCTTTTAAATTTCATGTAATTCCCTTTGTTAATTCTTGTTACTTCCAGAACTGATGGAGCCTTTTTTTCAGAGAGTCCTTGTCTGTGCCTGTATTTTGAAATATTTTCTCCTAGCTGTTTCAAAATTTCACATCTTATATTAAAACTTTTGGTCCATTTTAAATTGATTATTTTATAGGTGGAGAGATGTGATTCTTCTATTTGTCTACATGTACTTATCTCCATTTTGCTTAGCACCATTTGTTGAGGAGACCTTCGTTTGTCCAAAAAATGTTTTTGAAACCTTGCTCAAGAATCAAAGTAGTCCCATGGAAACCACAAACAACTCAGGCAATTTCCATGGCTATTGCTTGCTCTCTGGAATCTGATAGCAAGGCCCTATGGCTGAAGACAATGATTACATGTATTATTGAACATGGAGAGGCCTAACTATAGTGTTCACACCTCTTGACTAGTGTTCACGGTAGTGGATGGTACTCTACATGCCATGAGAGAAGAAAGGAAACAATCAAGGCAGCTACAAACCCCACAAGCTGCAATGGTGACCAGCCGATGTGATACACTGGTGAAATAGTGGCACAAAGTTGTCAGAATAGCCAACCAATATCTTATTGGATTTGAAGCCCTCTACATGAGATGGATCCCAGGCCTCACAGTGCTTGATGGCCACAAACCTGGCACTAGATAGGCCATGGACCTAGGGGAAAACCACACATTTTTTCTGCTATAGGAATATAGCAATAAAATGACTCCTAATGATATTCTGCTATACTTATGTGCTGTGCGATGGTCTGTATGTCAAATGTGTGCTCTGATTGGTCAATAAATAAAACACTGATTGGCCAGTGGCCAGGCAGGAAGTATAGGCGGGACTAACAGAGGAGAATTGAGAGAACAGGAAGGTGGAAGGAGTCACTGTCAGCCGCTGCCATGACAAACAGCAAGTGAAGATGCCGGTAAGCCACGAGCCACGTGGCAAGGTATAGATTTATAGAAATGGATTAATTTAGGATATAAGAACAGTTAGCAAGAAGCCTGCCATGGCCAAACAGTTTAAACAATATAAGTCTCTTTGTTTACTTGGTTGGGTCTGAGCAGCTGTGGGACTGGCGGGTGACAGAGATTTGTCCTGAATGTGGGCCAGGCAGGAAAACTCTAGCTACACTTATGGACCAGTGTCTTCTTACTGAGCAATCAACAGAGAAGGTTCCTTCTGCAGTAGATAGGAACTAATGCAGAGAATCACAAATAGACAATGTGAGAGACCTTGAAACACTCAGTCAGATGGGATGTTTTCATTAAGCCCCTCCCCTCAGGGGTTAGGGAGTTGTGCAGAAGAGAAGGCATATCATACAGGGCCTGCCTAGGTCTTCACCAGCACTGGGAGGAGGAGTCAACACAGGCCCCCATCCCTTACTCAAAAGCTATCACCAATTGATAACCACTTGCAAATGAAAAATTAGTTTTTTCCAACAGAGTCTCATCAGGGATACAAACCACTCTTAAGGGCAAGCCCCATGCCCAGCAGAAGATGACCGATAAAAAAAGAACTCAATGGCATTTCTATAGATTATTTGTCTCAGGATATCTTAGTTAGGGTTTTTATTGCTGTGAAGAGACACCATGACCCTGGCAACTCATAAAGAAAACATTTAGGGTTTGGGGATTTAGCTCAGTGGTATAGCGCTTGCCTAGCAAGTGTAAGGCCCTGGGTTCGGTCCTCAGCTCTGGCAAAAGAAAAAAAAAGGGAAAAAAAAGGAAAAAAAAAAAGAAAACATTTAATTTGGATGGCTCACTTACAGTTTCAAAGGTTCAGTCCATTGTCATCATGATGGGGAGCATGGTGGCATGCTGGCAGATGTGGCAATGGAGAAGTAGCTGAGAGTCCTACATCTTCTAGGCAACAGGAAGTCAACTGACAGTCACACTGAGGGAAGCTTGAGCAAAAGAGATCTCAAAGCCTGCCCCCATAGTGACACATTTCCTCCAACAAGGCCACACCTACTTAAGCAAGGCCACACCTCCTAATAGTGCCACTCCTTTTGGGAGCCAATTTTTTTTTCAGACCACCACAGAGGACCATATTTTTTTCCTTTATGGTTTTTTGCATATCTATTATGGTTTCTGGTTTTGTGTTTTTATGGGATTTCTATGTGTATGGATTTGTGTGTCTATTGTTCTTTTTCTTTGGCTCTTTTTCTCCTGTTTGTTTTGTTCTATTCTGGTTTGTATGTTTTTGTTTTATATTATTTTATTACTGTTTTTCAATGACTTTGCCTTCCAATGAAAGAGAGAAAGAAAGGTTGTGGATTTGAATGGGAAAGGAGGTGGGGAGAATCTGGAAAGTTTCGGGGCAGGGGGGAAACTGTAATCAGAATATATTGTATAAAAAAAGTATTTTCAATAAAATTTTTAAAAAGGAAAGAAAAATAGCTAACTTTATTTGTTAAAAAAGAAGAACAAAGTGACGAAAGTATGCAACCTTGTCTTATTCTAAATTTTAGAGGGAATGTTTTCAATTGTCCATTTAGTAATAGTTGCCTTAGGCTTCTCATTTATAGCCATTGCTATGTTGAGGCATATTCCTTCAATTCTTATTTCCTTTATCATGAAGGTTGTTTAATTTTGTTGAAATTTTTTCTTCATAGACTCAGATGATCATGTAATTTCTCTCCTTGAGTCTACTTGTAGGTCGAATTACACTTGCTGATATGATTATGTTAAAACGTTCTGGCATCCCTAGAATGAAACCAATGTGATCAAAGTTTGTGACCTTTTTAATATGCTATTATTGGATGTGGCTTGAAAGTATTTTATTAAGAGTTTTTCATCATCATTCACTTGTTAAGCTGTATCCTTACCTAGTTTTGATGTCAGGGTAAAAATGGCTTCATAGAATGAGTTTGGTAGTGTTTCTTTCTTTCTATTTGTGGACTAGTTTGAAGAGTCCTGGTGTTAGCTCTTCCTTAAATGTTTGTAGAATACAATTGTGTAGAATACAAATCTTTCTTGTTCTAAGCTTTCTTAGTGGAAAAAATTTACTACTGTTTCAACCTTCTGATTTGTTTTGGATCTACTTAAGTTGTTTTCTTTCTATCACTTTTTTTCTCTAGACAGGGTCTCATATAACCCAGGCTAGCTTGGATTCTTGGTGTAGCTGAGGATAATATTGAACACCTGATCCTTCAGCCTCTACTTCTTCAGTGCTGGGATTATAGGTGGGCAACACCATGTTTGGTTTATGTTGTTATGGGCATCAAACCTAGGGATTCCTGAATTTAGACAAACACTCTATCAACTTCTCTACATTTTCAGTCCCATGTTTATATATTCTTGATTTAATTTTAATCAATCATATATATCTAAGACCTTTTAGATTGTCTAGATCTTTCAAATACAACTTTTCCAAATCATTTGCTAATGATTTCCACATTTCACTATAATCTGTTGCAATATCCACTTTTATTAATTTGGGTCATCTCTCTTCCCTTTGCTGAGTTTGACTGTGAATATTCTGTCTTGCTTATCTTTTTGAAAACCTACTGTTTGTTCCATTACTTCTTTGTATCACTATTTTAGTCCCCATTCTATTAATAAGTCATCTTGTCATTTAAAAAATTTTATTTATTTTGTTTTTGTTTTCAATCTTAACATTTGTTATACTCTTCCATTTACTTATTTTGGGGTTGGAGTGTTCTTGGGTTTCTAAGACCTTGTGGTATCTTGTATGCTTCTTATTGGAATGCTCTCTATTTGTTTCTATTTAATTAAAATATAATCACAGAATTTCTCCTTTCTGTTCATCACTCTTACCTTTCCCATATCCAACCTCCTCCTCCCAAATTTATGACCTCCTCTTCTTAACTTTATTATTATATATACATATAAACTAATCAACATATAACTACAATTACTGAGTCGCTTCAATTTTGCCTTCATGTACATGTTTCCATGGCTAACCACTCTATACTGGATAACCAACCAGGGTGGTTATGATGGGGAAGACCAATTCTCCCACTCTTAACAGTTCATAATCACCTGTTCCTCTCATTTAGGGGTAGGACTCCATGAGATTTTCCCTATCTATATAGGAATGTCAACTGTTGTTGGAATTTTCCAGGTTTTGCTTAAGTAACTATGTTTTTGAGATTTTGTAATTATTGTATTTAATCACTTAGTGTTATATGATGCCCTCTTAGAACAACCTTTGCTCTATTCCCAGGTTCTGATAGGTCATGTCTTCATTTTCCTTTGATTCAAGGAATCTTATAACATCCTTGATTTCTTTAATGGCTCAAAAAATCAAAAGTGTCAAATATATGCATATTTATACAGATTTTCTTGCTTTTGCTTGTTTGCTTTATCAGATGCATCATCATCTGTTAATATATGAGAAATTAAGTCTGGTTATTATTTTTGTTAAGACTCACTTGATGGCCGTTCTGGCTAGTCTTATGTCAACTTGACACACAAACTAAAGTTATTTGAAAGGAGGGAACCTCAACTGAGAAAATGCTCCCCAAAGAACTGACTGATTGATGGAGGAGAGCCCAGCCCATTTTGTATGGTACCATTTCTGGGATGGTGGTCCTGGGTTCTATAAAAAAAAAGCAGGCTGAGCAATCCAGTAAGCAGTTGCCCTCAATGGCCTAAGCATCTGCTCCTGTCTCCAGATGATTGCTCTGTTTGGGTTCCTGTCCTAACTTCTTTTAATGACAGATGGCTGTATGGAAGTGTAAGCCAAATAAACCATTTCCTTCCCAACTTGCTGTGGGCCCTGGCCCCCCACTGT